TACGTGTTTAAGTCTTTCAGGCTACCAGAAGGATAGGAAGAATTTGGGAGAGATATCAAAGGAAAGGTTCTTTATGGTGGGGCTTACTTAAATTACAATAATTTTTATTTTCTTGGGACTTCTTCAAGGACATGTCAGGGAGAATGAGAATTACACATCTGAAAAAAGAAAGACAGAAAAGAGAACAGTAAATACAGCAAATGAATATTCCCATGGAACAGAAGTATTGTTATGAAATATTTGCAGAGAATTTATTCTTATTGTTTATTGAAAGTTTTCTGCTTAACAGGTATGAGGTTTTGGTTTTCAACCCAACTATCTCTTCCATAATCCCACAAAAGCTTTTTTATAAAAAAAAAAATAATAATTATGAAGAAGAGGTAAGAAAGGCTGTTTCTCTCCCTTTAAACATGTCCTGTCCCCAAACTTCACAAAATGAAGACTAAACTCCTTTTCAAATCTATAAGGGAACTGAGCATCTCTCTCACATTTCCTAGTAGAACAATGAGAAGAGTCTGTAGCCTTTTCCTTCTGGATGTCTGCACATGCACCTGAATGTATACAGAACAGCCAAATTTGCCATGTAATTTAATTACGGTGAGATGGGGAGGGAAATATTTCTAGCAATCCTCCAAATAAGGCTTAGAAACCCCAGCAACACTAACTACAAAACACTCTTGACAATACAGATGTCAACAAACAATTTATAATATGTTGAAAAGGAAGCAATCTGGTGGATGATACCAATCATTAAATCTTCCCTAATCATTAAGTCAGGACAATTCCTTTATGAAATATTGTGGTGAGAAATATAGTGACCATGATGATTGTACAATAGTCCTACAAAATATACAAATACAATTCCAATAGATTCCATGAGATTCCAGAGGTCCTTAACAATGGTCACAGAGAGGAAATTATGAAAGCCACTAGTGATGGTCTGAACAAGAAGGTGTTGCTGCTTGATTTTAAAGTCCTTTGTATTAGACAACAAACTGTCATCCATATCAGGCTTTTAGGATCAGGTTTCCCACAGCAAGAGCTGTTTGATCATAAGATACAGGTTTAAACTTGCCATCTGTTGTCAGAACCAATCTGAACTGAAGCCGAAGTTTTTGTTTTCTACTTTTTATTTTTTCATCAGTAGTACACTCTACCTTGGTTCAGCCAATTCTTTTAAACTCAGATATATTTGAATTTGGATATCAGGTTGGAACTCACTGCTTGCTTTGCTTTGAGGAATTTACTTGTCCATACTGAGTTATGGCTTTTTCATCGATCAAGTGGAGATGGATGCCAACTCTCTTAGAGTTTTTACCCTTATGAACCTGGTTTGCTGATTTGCTTAGGACCTGGATTCCCTAGTATGTGGAACCCTTCCTTTAACTAGAAGTTCATTTCTAGAAGTAGACCTCAAACTATGATATGCCTTATCTAGAATTCCCTTAAGTAGAAGGCAGCAAGGCAATAGCCCTGATGAGCTGCTGTGTATAAGCTTTCCTATGTGCTGACCTACCCTACTATTCTAAGATGGTTCCTGATAACTCATATGAATTGTGCCTAGTTATTGCTATGTTTCTTGGGTACTAGACTTTCTGCCAGCAGAAACTCTCACTTAAGTCCCGTCATTTGGCCAATTTCCCCAGAATCTGTGTTTTTCTGGTGAGTAGGTTTAACTTCAGGGCTACTCTCTAGGCCAGTAATGTCTTATTCTGAGAGAAACAGGGAAATGCATGGCTGAGTTCCAGGATATGAAAGCACAGGTTCTTGACAAGATGTTAGGAGAGTGAGTTGACTTTCAACAATGAAAATATAAAAGAATAATGATCATTATCAATGGAATAATTTCTAGGTATATTGTACTTGCTGTTTCACAGATATTATCTATAAACCTCAGAATAAACCTAAATGGTAAATATTATTCTCATTTCACAGATAAAAAATATTAGGTTCTAATACACTAAGTTACTTGCCCAAGAATAGATTTTTAGTAGAAACCAAAATTGAATTCAAACAATTCTGAGTCAAAAACCTATATTCTTTTTTACCACATCATGGTTCCTTCCACATTATCATGAATTAGGCCACTATTTTGATGCCGTTAGAGAAAAGTTCTAGTGTCCTTGATAGTTTTGTTTAACATCATGAAGATATTCTTTTTCAAAACAAAGTAGACAGTTTACACTAATATCACCAATATCTATGGAGACTGATCTTTAGTTCACTAACACTAATCATTTGAGTTTTTCCTTTAACTTGGGGATACACAAATGACATAATGGTGGCTATTTTACAGTAAGGCTTTCTTGAGCTTGGTGGCCTTTGACATAATTTTGTCATATTTTTACCTGTTTAAATTGGTCAAAGCATCCTTTTGTAGCCACAGCCCATATCTCTTTGCACACAACATCAGTCCCTTAATTTAATTCTCTTCTAGAAAGTGACCCTAGAAAATAGAATTAATGGGTATAATGATTGGAAGAATCAATGCCTTGTTTATAAGTCTCCATCTTCAGAATAAAGCTGGGGAACTGAGGCAGTTATTTCTATGAATTGCCCTCCTGTTGGGACTGGGGCTGAAATCACTAGCACTCTAGTTTGCATATGCTGACCTTGGTTAATATTTTTATTGAAGCTGCTTTGTATTTGTTTGGATAAGGGGGCACGTCATGGAGCATACATCTTAACACTATTATTCATCCTATTATAAATGATGCTAACAAATGTGAAGGAGGGGCCCACTTAGGATGTATTCATGACACACTCCTTTTTCCACCATCCCACATCCGCCCGCCTTGACATTTCTGATCCAAGCTATGTAGTAATTCTTCTCCTCATCCTATGTTTTCCACACATTCTTTCAGGTCAGTACACAGATGCTTTTACTTCTCTGAGTTTGAGAAAATAAATCATACTCCCACACCCATCTATAAAAGATTATTCAAGGTCATGACGATAACAATTCTTTCTTCCTGTGCAAAAAGAATACCTTTGCTTTCTTACAACGAATCTTCTTTGGTGTTTGTCTTAAAACACTCTTGGGGTTAAAAAAAAAAAAAAAATAGATGGAGTTTCCATTGTTATTCATGAATTCAAAATGGCTTGCTATATGACCTAACCCAAAATGTCTTAAAAGTAAGAGCTTCCCAGGTGCATTATAACATCTACACCAGTTAGTTCGTAACCCTGGATGCACATAACAATCACCTAAATCACATTAAAAATATTTTTTAACCTCAGGCTCTGAGGTTTCATATTCTGATTAAAATAATCTAGGCTGGGTCCCCAGTATGATTATTTATTAACATTTTAAATGTAAACCAGGTCGAAATGCATCTAAACAATATGACACAGGGGTTATAAACACAGACTTCATAGTCACACAGACTGGAGATTGGATCTTAGTTATCTCATCAGCTATTAAATCCTGGGAATTTGCTTAACCTTCTTCAGCTTCAGTTTCTTCATCTATAAAATGGCTTGATGATGCTCAAAAGTTGCTATGGAAACAGAATAAGAATTAATATAACTTACTTGAGTGACTGGTACTTAGTTATTTCTCAATGCTTTTTTTTTTTTCTTTTTTTTTTTTTTGGCTATGTGATTAGATTTTTCAGGATTTTGATATGTATCTCTAAGGTAATATATGAACCAGGAAACAAGTATTTTTGCTGACTAAAATTTTACTTAAATCTCCAAATTCAAATGTATCACAAATATTAATGATAATAGTTGAGAACATTTATTCACTACAAAAGTATGTGACAGGGTCTGTGTTGAATGTTTTACATGAATTACATTTTCAACCTATTCAAAATTTTAAAGTCTGTTTTATTACATTTTTAAAACAGAAGACATCGAATTTGAGAGCTTAAAATCTTTTTTCAAATTATCTAGTATGAAGAGTTGGGATTTGAACCTATGTCTATATAAATCTAAACTCAGAGTTTTAACCATTACACTCTGTTGCCACCAAAGCAACAGATCTGCACGAGATTTACACAGGCGTTTTAAACAAATCACCCTTTCTCATCCCCTCCCTGACTAAATTGAGATTTAAAAAAAAAAAACCACACAGTTTCATAGGCTGTAACCACACAGTTATATACACAACCATATAGGCTGCCATGCTCAAAGGACCCCACTCTTGGGATCTAATTATTTGCAATTGTTACCTTGAAATTCTTTTTTTTTTTTTTAATTTTTTTTTATTATTATACTTTGAGTTTTAGGGTACATGTGCATAACGTGCAGGTTTGTTACATATGTATACTTGTGCCATGTTGGTGTGCTGTACCCATCAACTCGTCATTTACATCAGGTATAACTCCCAATGCAATCCCTCCCCCCTTCCCCCTCCCCATGATAGGCCCTGGTGTGTGATGTTCCCCTTCCCGAGTCCAGGTGATCTCATTGTTCAGTTCCCACCTATGAGTGAGAACATGTGGTGTTTGGTTTTCTATTCTTATGATAGTTTGCTAAGAATGATGGTTTCCAGCTGCATCCATGTCCCTACAAAGGACACAAACTCATCCTTTTTTATGGCTGCATAGTATTCCATGGTGTATATGTGCCTAATTTCATTTTTTGACTTATGCTTTTTAAGTGAAATCTGATAGGCCAATGGAGGATATACTTAATGTAACTTATATTCCTGTTTTCTACCTTTTTTTTGCGGGGGGGATGGCTTCTTGATCACCCATTCTCCACCCTATGTTGCCTTGGACTCTACCTAGCTTCCCCTTGCAAGTTCCTCTACTTTCTCCCCATCTCCTATGTGGGTGTGTCAGTCACATTAATTGGGGAGAAGGCCTGTATTTCATGCCAACTTTTGCTCTTGGCAGGGGCCTGAGTATGGGTACAAGAGAATCAAATTTAGGCATATACCCTACTGCATCTCCGAGGAAAGCAAGGAAGCAGTCATCTTCAATCTTCCCTGACAATGTCATGGCTCCTTCAGCAGGAAACTTAGTAGAGGCTCTTGTCCACCATTCTTCCAGGTACCAAGTGCCTCTTGATGGAGAAGTTGCAATACCTTAGAGGTCACTCATCTGCTTTGGGTTGGAGTAGCAGTGTGGCAAGGTAAGATTTACTTCCCCAACCCCGACTGGAGACCTTCATTTTCATTTTACATTTGTCCCTCAAATTATGTAGGTAGCCCTGATAAAAATAAACGACAAAATACAGAAAAGTTCCACAAGAAGCAGTGGGGTTTGGTGTATTTGGAGAAGAACAAGGCAAGGTGAAGCTACCTGAGCCTGGTGAGACCCAGGCTGGATAATGTGTGTCCAAGCGTTTGGAATCATGGGTTGTGGAATTAAAAATATTCTTGCTATAAATCCCAGCTTTGCCCTTATTAGTTGTGTGATATTGCATAAGTAACCATCTCTAAATTTCAGTTCACTCTTCTATAAACTTAGCATAATAATTACACTAACCTCATAAACTTGAGATAGGATAAAATAAGACAATGTGCATGAAACAATTGTTTACCAGTGTCTGGGACAAAGTAAGCACTGGATAAATGTGGTTTTTGCTAGCTATTTTAACTTTGTTCTTCACTGAATGTCTCTGGGTCGGGGCGATGTTTGTTGCAATGATTTGACCCTATAGAGAAGAAAAGATTCTAAAATATATGCTCCTTCTTATCCCTCACCCCATACTTTAGGTCCTACTAAATCCATATAAACCTATTTTATTTTCTCATTCAATCAGATGTAAGAAAATTGTAGTTTCATATATTAGCCATCTCAGAAAATAGATCATGTCTGAAATTAAAATTCTGGGTTTGTTTCACCTCTTTACACTCCCTGAAATGCCATAATTGAAGAATTATGGATAGAATTAGGGATAGAAATATTGAAGGAATAATTGTCTTCCATCCTCTACCACAATAAAACCCAGATGAACATCCACATATTCTCCTCCCTTCTTGCTCTCCTCGCTCTCTCCTGGGATACCCATTCACATACACATGCTAATGTTCTTTGAAACATTTAAGATGCATTTCCAAGTGACAGGAAGTGCTACCATACAAAAGCATCATCTTTTTTTTTTTTTTCTTTTATGTTATTCTCCAACACATTAATTGGTTGAATTGATTTTCTGGATTAGGAAGCAGGGGAGCTATGCATTAAAGAAAGATTGATAGGATAGCACAATTGTTTGTGTTTCAAAACACAATTTTCTCAGAAATAAATATATAGGATATTGAGGAGTCTAGAAAGATCAAGGAGTACATTTCTTGCCTTAACTCATCTATGTAAAGATATAGTTTTCTGCATGAGAAATTACATTAACAGTTATTAACCAGTAAGTAATCCAGAGGAAATGTAGGAGGAAAATAAGGACACAACAAAATCTAATCCTATTAATAATTGGAGTTAAAACAATAGTATCCCTCTTTGCATTTAAAAATTTAACAGACTTTTTTTCTTAAAAATATTATAATGCTTTTTGGAGAGGGTAAGCTGAGGTAGATACCCTTATAAATTACTAGTGAAAACAAACTGTAAACCTTTCTGAATTATAACACAAATATATTTCCAGAGCCTCAAAACTGTTAGGGCCTCCAGTTACAATTATTCTAATCTAGGAGTGCTGTCTCAGAAAATTATAGGAAATCTGGACAAAGATCTATACACCAAAATGTATGTTTGTTCCATCACTTATAATGGTAAATAATTGACCACAAGCTGAATTTCAAAATGTAGGAGATAAATTATTTTTAGTTCTTTTCCTCTAATTTCCCCGCTAGCACTTCTACCCTTCCCCTTTCACTCAATGGATATTACTAGCTCTTCTGATTTGATGTTTTTTTTCTGAGGGAGAAGAGGCAAATGGGAGGAAGATTCAACATTACTGGCATAGCCTGCATTTGCTTTTTTCTGAAAGGCATTTGTGGGCTATGGGAATATGACTGCCATTGGGGATCTTACACCTTTCTTCCTTCTGGGAGGCATTTAGTTACTGAAAGTCCATTTGACAAAGACTCTCTGTTGGAGATCCCATTACTTTTCCAGGCATTACATTTATTTCAATTCTTTTTTTAAATGGGTATAGGAAGACTATTATATACTCCATATTTGGTCCATAAGAAGTATATATTCTTTCCCCTTAAAATTCTAGATATCCTTAACTTCCCCAATAGAGTAACCTTTACTTTTCCCACTTTCAGAGTAGCTACTGAGTCCAAATCTCACAATTTTAGAGTTTTCTAGGAAAGAATTTGGCATCAGTTGAGATACCCCTGTAGACACTAGTGAACACAGATCCAGATGACCAAGTGGTCTTATGGAAATCGTCTCTCATTGGTCTTGAAGGAACATGGAAACACCCCCTCCTTGCTCCATGAAAAATGATTTATAGTCTTATTGCAAATTGTTTTTCCAAACAATTTTTTTCTCTCAGACTTAACCTTAATTATCTTATCCTTGAATGGGTGCTAAGCTAAGGTTAAAAACAAAGATATGGTTTACCTCCTTTGTTAATTTCTACAATGATAGTGTAGCAATGCCTTTGGAATATTAGAGTAGGCGGCAGCAGTTATCTTTCAAGTTCTGCTCAAATTGAGACTAAAATAGGCTTATTTTTGCATTCTGCTATATTGTGCAACATTAATGGAGGAGATATACAATAGTATGACAGAACACAGGAGATACATCAATTCAGACCTAGCATCAGGAACGACTTTCCCAAGGATGCTCGCTAAACTGAAAATTAAAGTATAAGTACAAGTAAGCATGAGTGGAGCAAATAGGGAGACAGGAAAGAAACAGCATTAAAAGAGAATATAGGCTGGGCGCGGTGGCTCACACCTGTAATCCCAGCACTTTGGGAGACTGAGGCTGGCGGATCACGAAGTGATCGAGACCACTCTGACTAACACGGTGAAACCCCGTCTCCTCTAAAAATACAAAAAATCAGCCAGGCATGGCGGCAGGTGCCTGTAGTCCCAGCTACTCGGGAAGCTGAGGCAGGAGAATGGTGTGAACCCAGGAGGTGGAGCTGGCAGTGAGCCGAGATCGCGCCACTGCACTCCAGCCTGGGAGACACAGACAGACTCCGTCTCAAAAAATAAATAAATAAAAATAAATATTTATAAATATATAAATAAATATAATATATAAATATATATGGAAAGCAACATGGTATAACCACTTTGGAAAACAGTTGGTGATTTCTTACAAAGTTAACTATACACTTAGCATATAATCAAGTATTCTCACTTTAAGGTGAAATAACTTATGTTCACAGTAAAACCCTTACGCGGATATTTAGGGTGGCATTACTCATAATCACCCCAAACTGGAAACAATGGTTCCTTACCTGTGAATGGAAAAACGGTGGTACATCCATACAATGGCATACTACTCAGCAATAAACTGGAACACATTGCTGATACGAACACTGACATGGATAAATCTCAGAAGTATTATGCTAAATAAATATATCCGTATTCAAAGGGTTCCAGGCTGTTTGATTCCATGTATCTCTCTTTCTGGAATAAAGAAAACCATAGGAACAAAAAACTGATCATTGCTTTTCAGGGACTGCAGGTAGGGGGAGGGGCTGACTACAAAAGTCATGAGGGAATTTTGGGGTGACGGAAATGTTCTATATATTGCTAATGTTGGTAGCCTTCCATACTCAGCTATAAATTGTACATGGTAAAAGGTTAATATTACTTTATGTAAATTATAACTTAAATGAAAAAGAGTTCCTTTGAGATACTGAAAAATAGTTACTACAGAAATTAAATGAGAAGCAAGGAGTGTTAAACAATGAAGCAGGAAAGATATATGGGTAAGAGGTCATTAGGTTTTTGTAAATCATGCTCAGAAACTGAAACTTTATCCTGAAGATAATGGTGAACAATGAATGGTTTAACTTGATTGCAAACTATTTAGAGGGATCACTCAGCCAGTAGAGTGAAAGCAAGAAGACTAATTGAGATGTTAGGAAGAAATGTAGTAAACTTGGTAGAATATATTGCTTTCCTGAATTAGAAAAGTGTGGTGGGAATTTATTCATTGTTTACTAAATGTGCAAAAGGTCTATTACATTATAGACACTGAGCTGGTTCCTTGAGATAAAATGGTCAACAAAAACCACACATATACTCAGCCCTCTCTGAGCTCACAATCTGCTGGTAAAGACAGTATTCATATAAGCAAATATATAATTTTATCTATGGTAAATTCTATGATAAAAATATAATATTATGAAAGTGTGTACTAACAGGACTGTGTTAGACATAGTTACTCACCTAAAATCTGTCTTCCCTGTCTTAATAACAATCTGTTATTGTTTAGGGCACCTATGTATTAGCTTTTAAATAACAGGATTTCCTAGCTTTCTTAGCAGTTAGGGCTGGTCATGTGACACAATTCTGCCCAGAAATATATAAGTGGAAGGATGTTGTATATTTCTAGGAAGATTTTGCCTTCCTGATTATAATCTCTTCTTGCTGCATCCTTTCCTTTTCCCATCTAGCACATGTGATAACACTAGAATTGATGGAAACATAAATATTTTTGTTGCTATAGCACAATTTAAATTAATTTTAAAATTTAATGCATGACGACAATTATTGTTATTTTTATAAGACCTGTGTTCTTATGTCTCTACTGCCTCCCCTGCCTAATATCGCAATAGAAATGTAGCCCCAAATTCCCTCGTGCATGGCATGGTTCACCCCATTAAATTTCAGCCTCTTACCTGCCACCCAAATATCAACCCTAGAGGACTTGGGTACATCATGTCCAGATCAGGGTAAAGTTAGTGTTTTGGAGTTGTTTTTCTTGGTTATTGGTATTTTTTGTGTATAACAAAGCTAATCAATTGGCACTACCTTTCCCAAACACCATCTACACCCAGCTTCAGCAGGAGAGATTTTTTTTTTTTAAATAAATAATGTCTACCATGTACACAGAAAAACAGCAACAAATATATTTTATTAACATGATGGAAGCCTTCCCTTTGAAAATAATGAAGGTGAAAAGAGCTTTATAGATGTTGCTTGGTATACTCAACACAGAAACAAGATTTTGGAGCATGCGTTAGCCTAACTTACATAGTTG